TGTCCCGGGGCAGGGTGGGTGAGGGGATCCTTGGGGCCGGGCAGGCGTGGGAACGGCCCCGAACAAAGCCACTTCTTCTATTTTTATCCTGCTTCCCAAGGAAGTGCTGGCAGCCTGCCGGCCTCCCAGGCAGCCACGGTGGGGCTGCTGGCCAGGCCAGGCCTCACACCTTCAGCACACAATCACAGCACCCACTGGGCTGGAAGAGACTCCTGAGTCCAACCTGTGACCCAACACTGCCGTGTCACCAGACCGTGGCAGAGTGCCAGAGCCAGCCTTGCCTTGAACACCCGCAGGGACAGTGACCCCACATCTCCCTGAGCAGCCTGTTCCAAGGTCTGATCACCTGTGCTGTGAATAAATTCTCCCTGATGTCCAACACCTCCCCTGGTGCAGCTGAAGACCGTGTCCCTCTCATCCTTCGACAGCTGCTGGGAGGAGAGGCTGGGCAGTGCAGCCCTCAGCAACAGGGCAGCCCGGGCTGCTGAGTCTGAGCCCCATCATCATCACCATCCCCAAACAACCCCACAGACAAATAAAACGCCACAGCCCCAGCAGGCAGATGCACCCACATTATCATTTTTGCCATTTCTTTCTGCCCAACATGTAAATTTTCAGAGCCCCTGTTATGAGCACGGGGCACGGGCTCCATCCTGCAGCCCTGCAGGTTGCTGTTCTGGGGGAGGCCTGTCCCCAGCAGTGCTGTGGGGTGTCACAGGGAGCAGAGGGTCCCTGAGGCACAGGGCAGAACTGAACAAGCACTGAGTACCATAGTGTCTGGAGAACTGCAGGCATAAAGCTGACAAGCATGTGCCAATAGCTGAACTCCCCAGACAATAAAGGGAAGTAGCAGCACACAGTGAGGAAAGGGAGAGTAGAGAGGCTGGAAATCAGTCACCAGAAGCACAGAGAGATGTGACAAACTCTACTGCTTTAGGGGCAATAAGCTCCAGACATCCACCCTTCCTGCACACCCTGCACCAGGAAGAATGTGTAAAACATGTTCACTGTCCTGTGAAAAACACATTCACTGTCCTGTAAACCTTTAAACAGTAAATAAAGGACAATAGGAGACAAAGCCCATAAAGTAAAGATTGTTATGGCCAGGTGTGTCTCAGCCAAGAGCACACCTGCTATTTGGAAACACCCTTCATGTAGCATTTCTACGCCATTAGCCTGTTACATATTCATAAACAATTATGCATACTAAACGTTTCCCCAAACTATTTTACATATTCCAGGAACTGTTTAGCATGGCTCCTCCTTGGTTCCACCCTTCTAGAGCACGTGTATTCCTTGGCTGTGGGTTTGGTCCATTTTATCACCAGCTGCAGTTTTGTCCCCGGCCCACTCTGCCTTCAGACAGTGAGTGCTGGTGGCTGCACATCTGTACAGGTGTCCTCATCCTGTGTCCATGGGATGTTATCCCATCCCAGCAGGGAGTGTAACACAGGCACACACACATCAGCTATTTCACCAAGCTCAATTACCAACAGAAATACAAACTGTATCTTTACAACAAAGTTGCTTTAACACCACACATGTAAATC